GTGACCATTAGAGAGGTTAGGTGCCCAGGTTTGCATAATTAGTAAGGTAAATAGAAAGATATATCAACAATGATGTGACATAATTAAGAAAAATATTGCTCACTTTCTAAAGCACCAGGAGCCCTGGTGGTGAAGTGGTTAAGAGCTCAGGCTGCTTACCAAAAGCACAGCAGTTCGAATCCACCAGCTCCTCCTTGGAAAGTGTATGAGGCAGTTCTACTATGTCCTGTTGGGTTGCTATGGGTTGGAATCAACTCGATGGCAATGGGTTTGTTTGTTTTTTTCCTAAAGCACCATCTATTTACATCTTCTGACCTATTCTTTATGGAGACATAACCTTATATAATGTTTCCTCATCTCTACCTTTATAAATTTGACTTAGTTTTAAATTTACCATTACTTGCTATAGTCTTTTTCAAAATGTTTTACAGCCCTCCCATTTGTCATATCTACTGGTAGTATATTCCATTGCATTAGTATACTGTTCTCTCCCACAGACAGACATTTGGACTGTTTCTAGATTTTAGGTCTGATATATAGCTGCAGCTATATCTTCGTAAAAAATACGTTTTTCTTTTTCCCTTTTGAATTATTTCTGTGTGATATAGTGCGCAACGTGGGAATGCCAGGTCAGAAGCTATCATTTCACAGACTTTTGTCTTAAGAGACAGAATTCCTTTCTGAAAGGTTGTACCAGTAAAGCGTGCTACCAGTAATATATAACCAAACTCAAACCCTTCTATCAACTAAGGCTAGTGTCAGGTTTTTCCACTTAATATATATGAGGCGGTCTTTTAATAATTGTTTTAATGTGCATGTCTGTAAAACTACAATTGTTGCGGGATGTTTCCTTCAGGTTTATCGTGAGAATGAGAACAGTGTGTGACTTCATATCCTCTGTTGAATACGGGTGACAGGGTGTTGGAGACAGAGTGCTATCCTGATACATCTTCATCAGTCCCCTCAATGTTTTAGAGATAAAACTTGCATCCTTAATATTGTTAATTTCCTCCTACTCTGTTACTTTTATTTGAATCTTTTTTCCCTCCTCTGTTGTTGTTAGGTGCCATTGAGTCGGTTCTGACTTATAGCAACCCTATGTACAACAGAACAAAACACTGCTCGGTCCTGCACCATGCTCATAACCGTCATTGTGCTTGACCCCATTGTCGCAGCCACTGTGTCAGTCCATCTCATTGAGGGTCTTCCTCCCTTTTGCTAACCCTCTGCTTTACCAAGCATGATGTCCTTCTCCAGGGCCTGGTCCCTCCTGATAACATATTCAAAATATGTGAGACGAAGTCTCACCATCCTTGCTTATAAAGAGCATTCTGGCTGTACTTTTTCCAAGACAGATTTGTTCATTCTTTTGGCAATCCGTGGTATAGTCAATATTCCTTGTCAACACCATAATTCAAAGGCATCAATTCTTTGGTCTTCTTTATTCATTGTCCAGCTTTTGCATGCATATGAGGCGATTGAAAACACCATGGCTTGGGTCAGGCGACCTTAGTCCTTAAGGTGACATCTTTGCTTTTTAACACTTGAAAGAGGTCTTTTGCAGCAGATTTTCTCAGTGCAGTACATCATTTGATTTCTTGACTGCTGCTTCCGTGGACGTTGATTGTGGATCCAAGTAAAATGAAATCCTTGATAACTTCAATCTGTTCTCCATTTATCATGATGTCACTTATTGGTCCAGTTGTGAGGATTTTTTCCTCCTCTGTGCAGTATTTAAAATTTAATATAATCAAACCTGACTACTTTATAATTGATTCATCTCTATTGTTTCTGTGATCATGAAATGAACTCCTCTCTTCACTGGCGTATGTATACTATTTCATTTTCTTCTAATTAAAAAAATATTTTAAATTCACTCTTCTGTCTTTTTAGAATTTATTGTATTATGGAATGAGATGGTAATCTAAGTCAGTTTTTTGCTCTACTGATATGCAGTTTTATCAATAGCATTTATTATTATTAGTTTAATGAGTATTTTTCTCTTTACCAAAATATTACATTGTAGAAAAACTGGAAAATGCATAAAAGCACAAAGAAAAAAATAAAACTACCCATAGCTGGCCATCCACAGTTAACTATTACTATTTTAGAGTATATCCTTTCAGTGTTCTTTCTAGGCATGCATATTTTTCTTCCTTACCTCCCTTCCTTCTAATAGAGTTGGGAGCATGCCATACAAACCCAGCAGCATTAACTAAATAGTGATTTCTTTGCTTAGTTTTAAATTTTACTTTATTATATATTAAATTCATATCAAGTTGGGTCATTTCTGGCTTTCTTTTTTTAAATTGAAGTACCAGTTTTCTTGTTGCTTATTTCAAATGTCTTCTCATCGAATAGAACTTGAGTATAATTGCTTTATCAACAAACACTTATTGATAATTACTGTACATAAGACATTGAGTAAATGGGAACAATGTCGGGCACGGAGTGTCATATTAAATGTTTGTTAAATAAATTATGTTTGAAATAATGATCCAGAGAGATTATAACATACTAAGTCATTTTTAAAAAGTATTCATTTGGGTCATCTACACCCTTCCTACTATGTTGACAAGATTTTCAGTAAGTTTTAAAATAAAAATGTATTTCTGGTTAACCTTCATCTAGCCAGAAAATTATAGCAGAAAAACGTTTTCTGAACATTTATACTCTTTGAAGTGTTTCAAAAGATTGACATGAAATCATGGATATATAAAAATTAAAAATGTTTCCATGGCTAAAGTACTATAAATTAAGTAAAAATAACATGATAAATTGGAAAAAAACCTACAACACAGAATTTTTAAAGAGCCTTTACAAACTCATAAGAAAAAGACCAAAAACCTAATATGAAGATGGGCAAAGATGCGATCAGGCATTTCACAGAAGAAATACTATTGTTGCTGTTGAGTCGGTTCTGACTCATAGCCACCCTATGTACAACAGAAGGTTGCTGTTTGAGCCTATTGTTGCAGCCACTGCATCAGTTCATCTCATTGAGAGTCTTTCTGTTTTTCACTGACTCTCTCTAGGGTCTGATCCCTCTTGATAACGTGTCCAAAGTACGTGAGATGAAGTCTTGCCATCCTCGCTTCTAAGGAGCATTCTGGCTGTACTTCTTCCAAGACAGATTTGTTTGTTCTTCTGGCAGTCTATGATATATTCAGTATTCTTCGCCAGCACCATAGTTCAAAGGCATCAGTTCTTCATCAGTCTTCCTTATTTATTGTCCAGTTTTCATATGCGTATGAGGCGATTGCTTTTAAACACATGACCACATATTAAATTTTATTCATAATTAAAAAAAATACATGCTAAAACAATAAGAAGGAATCATGCTGTACCTCTTAGAATGGCAAAAAGAAAAAGAAAGAAGTGTCAAGGTCATGAAAAATAAGGAAAGACTGAGAAACTGTTATAGACATAGGAGAGTAAGGACACATGATGACCGTGTGATACCCTGGATTGGATCTTTGAACAGAAAAAGGGCATTAGTGGAAAAACTGGTGAAGTTTGAATAAAATGTGAAGTTTAGTTAATAGGTATGTATTAGTATTAATTTCTTAGTTTTAACAAATATGCGTTGGTTTTGTAGAGTGTTAACATTAGGGGAAGCTGGGTAAAGAGTATATGGGAGCTCTCTATAATCTTCGCAACTGTTTTTGAAATCTAAAATTATTCCAAAATAAAGTTTATCTAAGAAAAGAAAAAAAAATCAAAGATACTCAGAAATAAACATTCTCTTATAATATTGGAAATAGAAGTTGGTATAACCTCTTTTGGATGACAATTTGGCAAAATAAAAAATACATAATTTCCTTTGATCCATTCAATACCATTTCTAATATTTTTTGTCCAGATATATTCTTATATGTACATATAGATACAAAGGTATTTACTTCAGTATTGTGTATAATAGCAGATGTCTGGAAACCTTTTGAAGGTCGATAAGTAAGTGACAGATTAAAAGAATTATGATAAAGTCACACAATGGAGTTCTATGTAGCTATTAGAATGAAATGGATCTAAATGTATTGATATGGAATGATCCCCAAGATATACTGTTAAGAAAGTAATAAGTAGAATAGTATACCACTTTTCTTTTTATTAAAAAGGTGGTATATGTATAAATACATACACATCAATATATGTGCACCTACAGTGTATCTGTAGTTGCTTCTGGGAGGGAGAGTCTTGGCCAGGGGTGAGAATGACTCACTTTTGCATTGTTAACCTTTAATATTCTCTGCATTGTTTTGCCCTGTGCATTTATTACTTATAAACCAAAACTATTCTATACAAATAAATACATGAAATGAGACCAGGAGCCAGAATAGTTATTTATCTAGGAGTGGATAAGGTATCTTCTCTTTCTGCCTGCCAAAACCATCCTTTCCAGGCTGTGTCCGTTAGAATCTTGAAAGAAGGACTTGCTTGCTGCCTTTTAATTATTGTTGTTAGCTGCTGTTGACTCAGCCTAACTCATGGCAGCCCCATGCACAGAAGAACAAAATGCTGCCTAGTCCTGCACCATCCCCATGACTGGTTGGGGATCAGACTGTTGTGATCCATAGGGTTTTCATTGGCTGATTTTCACAAGTAGATCACAAGGCCTTTCCTCCTAGTCTATCTTAGTCTGAAAGTTCTACTGAAACCTGTTCAGCATCGTAGCAACCGGCAAGCCTCTCTTAACAGATGGATGGTAGCTGCACATGAGGTGCATTGACTGGGAATCGAACCTGGGTCTCCTGCATGAGAAGGGAATTCTACCACTGAACCGTCACTGCCCCCAGGTGCCACTATAGTTTAAAGGATAGGCTGTTCTCCTCAGGTTTCTTGGCTATCCAAATACAAATTGGAGAGTTACCCTTTGATCCCTTCACTTATATCCAGATACATTCGGGATGTTTCTGAATCCTAACTCAGTGAGCCCATGGAGTTTTCTCTGATTGGCAATAAATTGTAGTGACTGGATTATCTATTCTGTCTGAACACAGGATGGCCAGTGTCCCAGTGAAGGAACGGGTGAAGGTGTCTCAGAACTGGAGGTTGGGGCGCTGCCGAGAGGGGATTCTGCTCAAGTGGAGATGCAGGCAAGTAGCCTCTTGACTCTTAAAGCTGCCTGGGACAGGAAAGCATGTTGAAAAGTAGAAAACCCTGTGGGTGAGGTGGCACTGGTGATCTTCTAAACACCACAAAAGGGAGTGTCAGAAGGACAACAATGTTTTATCACATTAAAAAAAAGGATCTCAAGAAATGTACTTTATTTTTTATTATAAAAATAATAAATGTTTATTATAGAAATTTTTTAAAAAAGAGAAAAGTCTAAAGAGAATAAAAACTTACTTATAATTCTACCACTCAGAGGTAACTACTGTTAACTTATCGAAGCCCATCTTGTTTTACTATTATTTTTCTTTAAATCTACTCGAAGGAGTTACACCTTCACTCTTGGCTTCCTTTAAGCCCTCTCTCTTACTTTATTAAAAGGCAAAATAGGATCTAAAGGTTTGGCTATATATGTTACAGGAGGCAGGGCTTAGAAAAATTGCCAGGAAATTTACATAATGGCTTTGGCATTGCTACCACTACAAGTTTATGCTTCATCGATGCTAAATTATTTCATAGTTATTATTTGACTCCTTACCAAAAAAAACCCACTCCTTCTTAGCTGGTTGGAATGGGTAGGGAACATCCTGATTCCCCATTCTAGGTTGACCTGTACCTGTGCTTATGGTACAGGCAGGCTTTTTTTGTCTGATGAACCTTTCTCTCTTGGCTTGTGTCCAGTTTCTGCTGGTTTCACTGATGTCAGTTTCTATGAATTACAGGAGAGAAAGATGGATTTTTATGATGAGGGACTTTACCCCTTGCTTTCTACTTTTGCTTTTTAATACCAGAAAGTAGAGTTTATTTCTCTATCAATGTTTTGTCCCTGACGTCTTTTTGGGCTATTTTCAAGCAGTTTGGCAAATAAACACATGAAATAGTTACTAGGCTGCCCTGGGATTCTCTGCTGCTCACCTGGCGTGAACCTGGTTTCTTGTCCTAGGCAAATGGCTATTTACCAGATGGCTGTAAACACATGGATACTGAATTCCAACCCCTGCTGCTTGCTACTCGAGTGTGCCACACACTCATGCAAGGGAATGTTGGTGAGGAATGTACACAATAAGTGAGAATGCAGATGTCCATACACACTCAACACATGTTCCATGTAATATATGCACACATTTGTAAAAACCTCATGAGCAGAAACTCAGTTACTACAAAGTCCAAGCTGCATTTAATGGCCCATCAAGTCAATTTGCAGAACTTTTCCACATTCCCATGACGCTTGTATTAAGGAGCCTGGGGAAGAAACACAGCCCAGTTTGCTCAGACAGGCTTGGCAGCGGGAGATGGTAAATGCGGATGAATCAGCTGTCCCTGTGCTTTGCTTGGGACTTGGTAGCTCCAGGACCCCTATTTAGAGTAGGGTTGGCTGTTGGGATGTCTCCCTTGGTAAAGGGGCTTAGTCCTCACCAGAGAGCTTAGTGTCTGGCAGAATCCTTAAGTCTCTCTCCATGCCATGGAACTGGCCTGTGTCTCCTAACCTTTCCTTCTCCTGCCAGATTGTGGTGGGAATGTTTAACTATTTGTGGATTTCTCTTATCAGCTGCCTGTGAGAGCTGACTATTTCTCTGTAGCCCCTGAACCATAGCAGACTGCTCTGGAGCTGTGTTTTTCCATTGCCACACTTACCCTCTAATACAGAAATGTAGATATCCCCTGTGAGGATCTAGGTATCTAATCAGTACATTAGCATCCTTTCCTAAATGGCTTTATTCCTTTCACTTATAAATGGCCTCTTTGCTCTGGTAGGGCGAGGGAATGGAGCTTCCCCAGGGCTCGCTCTTCTCTTTTCTCTATCACACCCTCACTGAGCTGTTGGCAAAGAAGCATGTATGGGAGTCTTGGCACCTTGAAACTTATTACTGACACTTCAAATCAGTGAGGATGCAGAGTGAAATAAAGTTACTTTACCTGGCCAGTAGGTTTCTTTTTTACCCTCCTCTTTCTTCAATCATTGAATTTTCCAAATTCAGCTTTACCTAGGAGAAGTCTAGGTAGCCAGTAATCCAAATCTTAAGCATTCTCCAATTAAAAGTGATACCTAATTGGCCTTTTAATTCTGATTCACTTTTAGAAAGCCCAAAGAAGATTGGGGCATCACAGAGCTCAATCATTCTAGTTTTCCGAAAGTGGCCTAGGGGTAGGTAATTTTGAAGGAGGGGAGTGAAGGGTAGACTGTTAGCCTTGCAGGCTGTTCTTGCTAGGTTGGGGATCAGTTGCCTCTCCAGTTATCTGAGTCAGGTTTTCATGCTGTATCTCGATGACCCTTATCTTTTGTTTTCTATCTCTGCAGTCAAATGCCCTGGATGCAGCTAGAGGGTGATTCTCTGTACATATCCCAGGCTAATTTCATCCTGGCCTACCAGTTCCGCCCAGATGGTGCCAGCTTGAGCCGCCGGCCCCTGGGAGTCTTTGCTGGACATGATGAGGACGTTTGCCACTTCGTGCTGGCCAACTCACATATTATCAGTGCGGGAGGGTAAGTGCTGCAGGCTTTCCTGCCACCCTCTTCCTTAGTGCTCTTCAGGGACCTTCTGCCTGCCTCTGACTTTTCTGTCTCAGCTCCAAAGGAATGAAGAGGGAGACCAGAAGAAGAGGTAGTGATTTTTTTTTTTTTTTTTTTCCATTTAAAGCCAAGAGATTTACCAAAGGCAGCTGATAGGGTCAGCTGGAGCAGGAAAACAGGAAGAACCTTTAATGAAAAGTGAAGCTGGTTTTGATACTCTCTAAGGGGAAATTCGTTTATCTCTCAGCTCTGTTCAGCCCTAAGTGTGCTGAAGAAGTAAAGGTATCTAGAAGCTCAGTACCTTATTGGGCCAGAATTGCCTAACACTTAGCAAATTTGGACATCATCAGAGACTTGGGCTGTTTTTATAGACTTGTTCTTTTTCTACAGAGAGAATAATCGGCTACTGGGGACGGGCTTCTTATTTCTCTCCTTATTTCCATCCTAGAGATGGGAAGATTGGTGTTCATAAGATTCACAGCACCTTCACTGTCAAGTACTCAGCTCATGAACAGGAGGTGAACTGTGTGGATTGCAAAGGGGGCATCATTGTGAGTGGCTCCAGGGACAGGACGGCCAAGGTGAGATAGTCTCCCCCTTACATACTGTTATTCTCTCCTGTCTATAGGGAGTGGGGTGGCAGAGGGTGGATAGAGCCTTGAGCCCCAGGATTGGCGGAGAGCATTGGGTGGGGGCAGGGGGGAAAACGACACAATAAAGGACTCACTTATGTGCCTCTGGCATGCAGCTTGCCATGCCAGGCTGCGTCCCTGCCAGCCGGACTGGGAAAGGAGTGGATAGTGGCTGGGAAGCTTGCCACTCACTTGAAATGTGGCGTGAACTCAAAAACAGAGGGCCTGGCCAGATTTTCCTCCCTGAGCTGAGTTTCCTCAAGTTTGTGGGTTGAGTTCTGACCCCAACATTTTATTTTAAAATCTCTCTCCTTTCGCTTACTCTCTGTTTAGGGAGGTTGATTTTTCACCACCTTGTTTATAAGCAATCAGGCTGATAATTAAAATGTGTTTTTACTGCCTCTCTGGAGGGTGATGTGGTCAATAAGCGGTAGAAAGACGACTGGGGAAGGGTGGTGTTTGTTGCAGCATTGCCAAATGCCTTGTCTACGGTCAGACATCCGGCAAGGCATAAAAAAGCGAGGCTGATAAGTAGTGGAACCCTTGCTACACAGACTCAGCTCATCAACATCTGGGTCAAGCAGGCTCCTACCCACGATACAAAGAAGAAATTTTCTCCGTTCCTGTGTCCACCAGCCCAAGCCAGGGCCTACACCTGCCTGCTCTTTTGGGGCTGCTGTGGGGAACTTTGCTGACAGTTCAGTTGATGGTGCAGGAGGCCCAGTGGTATATTGCTCGTGTATTTCCCAGCATCTGGAGGCTCCGTAGTGCTAACAGAAGCAAAATGATTGTTGGTGTCAGCAAGTGGGGTTCTAAGACACATAGGGAGAGGACTGGAGAGAGGGAAGTTGTAGTATTTACTTAGTAACTTTTCTGACTCCATGTATCCTCTGGTGATTACTTCTTCAGGTAGAAATGTTGCTAATTTATATAAAAAGAAGAGCTAAGTATGTTCCTTTCTGGTTATAGATGTTTCTCCTCCTCTGCTGTTTTCTTCTTTATATTTTGTATTCTGTCAGAGGGATATGCGTATCAGCACAGGGAGCCTGAGAAAAACCCAGAAAATCTTCTGAACCAACATGGAAAGGAATTTCTTGTCACCTGCTTCCCACCCCATACTTACTTCAGGTTTCTGACTGGTCACTACGCTTGTACTATTCCTTGCAAAGATACTGACCTTAACTTACTGTAGTGCTCAAAAGTCTATTTGCATGGAAACTTTCTATGGCATATGTGACCTAGCTATTCCCATCTCATCTGGCATCTCCCTATCATGGCTTCCCTTGGTTCCACATTTTAAGTGACATCTCTTTCTTCTCTTTTCTGTGGTCTCCTATCCAGAGCTGTAGAAAACTACGCTTTATGACCACAGGTAGTAATTCAGGAATATGCACTGCTTACAGTCAGTGAATAATAGCCATTTTGTTTGGCGTTTGGGGTTAGTTTCATGTTTTGAATATTGACTCAGACCTGTGGCTTTGATTTTTTAGGCATGAAAATAGGTACTTCCTAGTTATAAGATTCTGTCACTGCAGTCTGCCTTTTTTCGTTTTGAAAGTTTCTTTTAGGTCAGTGACAGAACTCTCTTCTCTGGTTCTTTTTCAGCTCCTGAAAGCTACCTGCTGTGTTGGGGCCAGGGCTTCAAACTGGTTCGTTCTGGTTTGAACGCCTGCTGAGAATTTGCATTTCTAACAAGTTCCCAGGTGATGCTAATGCTACTGGTTGAAGACCAATTCTGAGAACCGTTAGTAGAGTAGTGATTCTCAAAATTTATTATACGTAAGAATCAACTGGGGATCTTGTTAAATGTAGATTCTGATTCAGTATATCTGGAGTGGAAATGCAAATTCTCAGCAGGGGTTTGAACTGGAATGGATCAGCTCAAAGTCCTGGTTGGTTTTCCCCTGTGACCTCCAGGCCAGCTCATCTTCTCTGCTTTCTGGATGCTGCTTGGGTTCCCTTCCTTTCTGTTCTTGTCTTTGCATCCAGCAAAGACATCTTCCTGGCCCAGTTAGTCTTTTGTAATCAACTCTCCATTTCCTTTTAGTGACATCTGCAATACTACAGCTGCTTCCACAGGCTTCTAATACACTTGAATCTACCTAAGAACTCACAGTAATGTTGACCTGCAAACATCTGTAGCCCTTTTTTGGGGGAATTTCCCAAATATGTACTAGGAAAGAGGAATTTGTTTTGCTAGGGTGAAGGGAACCAAAAAATTCACTCTGCAAGACTTCTGAGATAGGGACTATCCAGGGAGCCTGCCTCCTGCCCCCTCCAACCCTGGTTTCAGACTTATTGTGACCTGGCTTAGATTGCGTCGCTGGGCTTCGGTGGGGCCGGCCCCATCCTGAGTTGTGACCAGATGGTAGCTTACGTTCTTGGTGGGCCTGGGCTAGTACTGACAATTCCTTCATCCCTTCCTTTATGCCTCTGTTTTCTCATTCCTTCTTACAAGTGCCTACTCTGTGTGAGCCGTTGTACAGAAAGCATCTGGGCTCTTCAAAGGTAAAGAGATACAGCCTCTGTCCTTAAGGGGAGCTGAGACTTGTGTGCACCTGGGTAAGAGCTGATCGGAAGTGGCCCAGACTGTGAAGTGTTAAAGCTCTGGGGAAAGGGCCGGAGAATTCAGAGGGTAGAGAGATCACATCTTGCTTGGAAGGGGTGACTTTATGGAGGAGGAGCATTTGAGCTGGTGGTTTTTTCTTCTTTTAGTCATTTTTCAATGGATAGGTTTGTTTTGTAACAATATAGAATGTTACTAGGCACTTTGCTAAGCACTTTATATTTATTCACTTTCTCATTTTATCCTTTAGAGTAATTTTTTTCCCCATATAATTATGCTCATAGTGTCTTTTGGATGCCCAATATCCCCAGCTGTATCTAGTTTATTTTACAAGGGTTTCCATTATTATTATAAATTATTTGTAAATATCATCTGTAATGGCTTCATAATGGACTTATAATTTACTTACTCTTATCAGTGGATGATTGTATCCAGTTTTTTCCTATAGTAATAAGAATCACCATTATTGAATGTCTAATACCTGCCAAATACTGTGGTACTGTGCTAGGTGCTTTGTACTGTACATGTTTCCACTTTTCCACACTACAGCCCTGCAAGATAGGCATTATTTCCCATTTTACAAATGAGGAAACTATGTTAAGAGGTTATGAAATGTCCCTAAGCTCTAAGTTAGTAATAGCAAGGGTTAAAACCCAGATTTTCGCCTCATTCCAAGTCCATGTGTACTCTTTCTGCAGTAGTGTATTACAGAGAATGTTTTTAGCATTCAGGTTTTTCTGTGTTTTAGGATTATTTTCTTAGGATAATTCTTAGCAATAGAATTACCGAGTCAAAGACTTTGGTCATTTTAAGTCTTGATGTGTTTCTGGTCTTGATACATATCACCAGTCTGCTTTAAAGGGCTGTATAAATGTCTAATCCCATTGAGTTATGTCTTTTCCAGGGATGGGTCTGTTTTGGATTTGACCATTGAGGATGAAGATGTGATCAGCATTATTATTGTCAATTACTGTCCTTCAGGCACCATGATACTCATGTTTCTAATGGATAGTGTGCCATGGGGCAGAACAGGAGGGCCACTTTGCCAAGATCATGTTCAAAATTGGCAGAATCGTTTCTGAGCCTCACCTGGAGACTAGAAACCTCCTTCTGTGGTTTACATAGGCTGTCACCATAGTCTTTATCAGAATCCTTAGTGTCTCCCTATGCCCCAAGCAAATTCTGCCTCTGAAGAACCTGCCTCCAGGTGGTTTGCATCAGGGAAAAATCAAAAGTCTTTTCCAACTGGAGCTGCCTAAAAGAGGACATTAGAAGTACATCTAGTTACCACCAAAGAGGACTGGCCATAGATCCGAAAGAGGAAGCCAGAGCTGTGGCACTCCAGGAAGGTTGTCGTATTTACTTTTGTTTATTGTCTTCCTTGTTCAGCATCTTCTTGTTAAATTTCTTTTCTTTTCCCTGTGTTGGGAAAAGTAACTCACTCAGCCGTGCCCCCCTTACTCACACACACACAAACTCTAAGTAACACTTTCTCTTTTTATAGGGAAGAGATATCATGTGACCCTCAGAAGGCAGGGCCACCCCTACTCCCTCACCTACCCCTTAAATCCAAGGAATGTTTCCTTAGTGTTCTTCCATCTAAGGTCCTGGCTGAGTTCTGCGTGTTCCCCTTATAGCACTGCAGGGACCTTGAGAGGTCATTGATCCATCTGGCCACCTCAGGCTCCCTGCTAGGCTGCTGTCTGGGGACAGCCCTGTACATTTGAGGTCTCCTTTCTGTTTGGTTACAGGCTTATTTCCCCGTGTGTGTCATCTGTGCTAGGGTGAGGTGAGGGGGAGCCTTGTGCTTAATGGGAGACCTCTAAATGCATTGACTACCGAGAGGGCTCTGTGAGTGTTGATTAGAGTTAAGCCCAGAGTGGCTGCTAATGTACATTCCTGACTGATAGGGACCAGATAATGTGCTCCGAGCAATATTTTTAACCTGTAGGAGATATGGAAGCTTAAAAGGGTTAAGCTTTTCTGCTGCTTTTGGTGACACTAGGTGCTAAATTCCCTGCTGACATGAATAGCATTGGATCCTGGGCATTATCAACAAACAAACAACAACACACCACCTCCCTTCTTTGAAGTCTCTCTTCTTCCACTCTTTTTTTCCCTTACATCTTTCTTTCTTACTCCTCTTTCTAATTCTGTCTCTGTCTCCTCATACCGTGTCTTGATCTTTCTCCCTCTCCCCACCTGCCCAAAGTAAAATCTTGGTGAGAGATAGGAAAATCCACAAACATGGGGAGGTTACTGAGAGCAGCAAGTCCCATTGACCTACTTCTTCTCAGTCAGATCTCCACTGAGGAATGTGGAACTTCTAATTCTTGGTCTAAAATTGACTGGTAAGTAATGATTATTGAGTGGAGGTAAAAAAAAAAAAAAAAGAAGGGTGGTTAGGAATAGGCATCAGAGTTTCTCTGGGTGGTAGACTAGTCAGACTCTAGAGATCCCCCCTCTGCTGATACCATGAGCTCTGTGTGTACGGGACAGAAAGGGTTCTTTGTTCTGCACCTCCCTAGGGGCAGGCACCTCACCTGGCACTTCTCTCCTCTCCTGCATCCCAGGCAATGCCAATGAGAGCATCTCCTCTCCTGTTTTTAGGTATGGCCTTTGGCCTCAGGCCGGCTGGGGCAGTGCTTACACACCATCCAGACTGAAGACCGAGTCTGGTCCATTGCTATCAGCCCATTGCTCAGGTAAGGGAGCATTTTTGGATATGATTTTGTCCCATATAACTAACGCTTTTATTTTGCTAGGTCAGGTGGGCTAGAAAATCTTCCAACTGTGTATTCTTGTTTGCTTTGAACCACTTTCTTGGAGATTTTGAAAATCCTCCAGAGACATGAGATCTGAAGGTCACTTCAAGTATACATGGGGTTGAGCTTACCTTCCAGGGGCTCATTTCCTAAGCATATAACCCCAAAAATGTTGAGGGAAAATTACTATATTAGAATCTAACCAAGAGTCCAGCTGTTACCAGGGGTTTCCTTTCTGGAGCAGATGCCCTCTGGGGCAGAGGCCTGTCAGCATTGCGGGGAGGTGCCATCAAAAGCCATCCTGTTTTTGTAACTCATAACTCTGGTTTGTTCCTCTTAGAAAATGTCCTCAGGAGAGGCTTGGGGCCTCTGTCCAGTTGGGCCCTCCTCTAAGGACACACGTGTGTGGAGGAGTACAGTCGCTGATAATTATAACATAAACCCAAACCAAACCAAACCTGTTGGCTGTTGAGTCGATTCTGACTCATAGCAACCCTATAGAACAAAGTAGAACTGCCCCAGAGGGTTTCCAAGGAGTGACTGGTGGATTCGAACTGCCGACCTTTTGGTTAGCAGCTGAGCTCTTAACCACTGTGTCACCAGGGCTCTAATGATAACACAAATGCCAGATTTTTGATGGTGGCCTGACTGGTGTTTCTCTAGCTTTACCTGTGAACAAGTGAGTTTTGCATCCTGCCTTCTGCTTTCTAGGCTCTCTTGAGCCAAAACAGAACCTCTCTTCTCCTCATATACTCACTCTCCTGCACCTGTTCTGTCACAGTATTTACCTAGGGTCTTCCCTCTACTTCCTTCACCCCCTACCCCCACCAGAATGATAAATGGGAAATCTGTAGGGCTGCCACCCTCCAACAGTGGGTTTAAGTCAGTCACTTGTTTTATGAGAGAGTTGATTCCCCCCTTTGCTCAGCCTCCTTCAGCCTCCTTCTCGTCACCTCATGGAGACTACACCCCTCCTGCTCACTTCCACAACTCCCTTTCAAATTTTTTTCTTCCCAAAGAATTAGAGCCGATTAGCCACGTCATTAATTCTTCAATTTGACGGCTGATATAGCAGGACCTGAAACACATTGCTGACCCCAGAGAATGGAGACCCCGTTCCTTAGCATATTGACGATGGGAGAAGTTAATTAAAATTCCACAGAGCGGAGGTGTCGGCTAACCTATAAACCTGTCGCTGTTCAGAACAAATCATTTTCGCAATCCTAGGAAAGAGAGAAGGAAAGACCAGCAGGGAGTGGAGAGGCCTAAGTGTGTGGGAGCGGAGGGTAGAAAACGGAGCCATCGAGCTTTATCTCCTCCTTATTTTCTTCCTAATGCTGTCCTTTTTAAAGCCAATTAGCCAGGCTTGGGAGTCTGTGGGCTAGATATGTGTAAGGATTTAAGGAGGGCTAGGCAGCCTGTGGGAGGTAATGGGTGTGCTGGTGACTTTGCCTCATTACCTGTGGACTTCCGGTTTCAGGAGACTTGGGGGGCAGGGGATAGGTGGTGTAGGGTTTGATCTTCAGGACTGGAGATGATCTGTGTGCTTCCTGCACGTGGCTGTAGACCAAAGAGCACAGGCAAGCCCTCTCTCCGCTCCTCCCTCCCCCAATATTCCTCTACTCCAGCTACCTCCTCTGGAATGCGATTTCAACTCATAGCAACCCCATGTGACAGAGTGGAACTGCCACATGGGGTTTTCTAGGCTGTAATCTTTACGGGAGCAGATCGCCAGGTCTTTCTCCTTAGGAGCTGCTGGGTGGGTTCAAACTACCAGCCTCTCGGTTAGTAGCCGAGTGCTTAGCCCTTGCACCACCAGGGCTCCTTCTTAACCAAATATAACACAGAAAACTGTTGAAGATGGTGTCAATAAGAGAGGATAAGGACAAAGTCTGCCCTCACAATTAAGAAGCATTTTACATCACAATAAACTGAATTTGGGTTTTTTTTGTTGTTGTTGTTGTTTTTTGCCATAACTTGGAAACCGGCTTTGGGGAGGGACCTAGCTTTTTTAATATTACTACTACTACTAATAGCATATAACATTTATTAGTCATTTACTCTGTCAGATCCTCTGCTAAGCCCTTGATGTGCCTTATCTTTGGTGAAGACCTGGGTGTTGTATTTTCTTCACATATATCCTTCAGGGTTTTCTTTTCCCCTTGGTATATTTTCTTGATCCTGGGATGATTCTTTTACCCACTGTTGGCTGGATAGTGAGCTCCCGACCAACAGGTGTTTGAGATGGTCTTTTCCCTAACTTCATTGACGGTGTCTTGGATTCTTTTTAAAAACAGGTTGCATTTAGGAATCTGTCTTTATACTAGATGATTGGGGTATAGGCTACTGTTGTCTGCCCCTTTTTCTCTTACCCAAAGAATACACTGGGATAGCAATCTCTTCACTTTATTATATCTAGTTCTTCTCACTGTTCTCATGAATCTGAACTTTTCAATAAACTCATCCATTTTCTCAGTCTGGAAGACTGGGTTCTACTTTGCCACCAGCCAGCAGGTGGCCTCCAGTAAGCCATTCCCCTCTCTGAGCCTCAGTTACCCCATCTATTCCTCAAAAGAAACCCAAACCAAACCTGTTGCGGTTGAGTTGATTCCAACTCATAGTGACCCCATAGGACAGGGTCAGAGTAGAACTGCCTCATAGGGTTTCCAAGGAGCAACTGGTGAATTAGAACTGCTGACTTTTGGTTAGCAGCCCTGTATCTTTTTTTTTTTTTTTTTAATTGTACTTCAGGTGAAGGTTTACAGAACAAATAGTTTCTCATTAAACAGTAGTACATATATTGTTTTATGACATTGGTTAACAACCCCACGACATGTCAACACTCTCCCTTCTCGACCTTTTTTTTTTTGGTGAAAATATACATAGCCAAAGATACACCATTTCAAAAATTTCTACATGCACAGTTCAGTGACATCGACGACGCTCTTCCAATTGTGCTGCTGTTCTCACTTTAGATGAAGGTTTACAGAATGAAATAGTTTCTCATTAAACAGTTAGTACACATATTGCCCTATGACAATGGTTAACAACCTCACTATACATCAACATGTCCTTACTCAACCTTGGGTTCCCTATCACCAGCTTTCCTGTCCCCTTCTGCCTCCTAGCCCTTGTCCCTGGACTGCTGTGCCTCATTAGTCCCGTTTTGTTTTATGGGGCTGTCCAATCCCTGGCTGAACGGTGAACCTCGGAAATTACTTTACCACTGAGCTAAAACAGTGTCTGGGGGCCATACTCTTGGGGTTTCTCCAGTCTCCTTTAGGCCAGTAAATCTGGTCTTTTTTTTGTGTGTTAGAATTTTATTCTACATCCTTCTCCAGCCCTGTCCAGAACCGTCTATTGTGATCCCGGTCAGAGCAGTCAGTGGTGGTAGCTGGGCACCATCTAGCTGTACTGGTCTCAGTTTGGTGGAGGCCTTGGTAGCTGTGGTCCATTAGTCCTTTGGACTAATCTTTTCCTTGTTACCTGTTATATTCATTCTCCCTTGCTCCCGAAGGGATGAGACCAGTGGAGTATCTTAGATGGAGCAGCCCTGTCTCTTAACCACTACACCACCAGGGCTCTAGTGTAAGTAATAGTTCCTTTACAGACTTTACTAGATTATTGTGAAGATGATCTGAATAACGTGCAGGTAGTCCCTGACTTATGACGGGGTCCATTCTGACGTAAATCAAATGCCTCATTTTTTAAAAATTTTTTTAGTTTTCATTATTATTGCCTTTTATTATCTGTATCTTTATAACTCTTATCTTTATTTGTCTTTAGGGTGTGGAAAGATGACATAAAAATTTACAGATATATTTTAATACATACATAAAAAAATACATGAATCATTAAAAAAAAAGACGGTCGTAAGTGCAAGTGGTCATAACTCAAATATGTCCTAAATCGGGGACTACCTGTATGTGAAAATACTCTGAAAAGTTAGAAGGGCAATAATATTATGCCAACCAGAATCACCTCCTGTCTGGTGTAGCGTTTGTTTAGTGTAACTTCATTCCCTCAAGTCTTTACCCTTTCCCCAGGCTTTTCCTGGCCCTCTGGAGTTACACTGCTTTTTTGTAGTCTCCTTCAAGTAGGAACTCAGTATGAATCCCTGTTGGCTCTCCTTTTCCTCCCAGTAGTGTTCCTGCCCTCAGTGGCTGCCTTCTGCTCCCTTCCCTGCCACCTTCCCTGTAGAGTATGCTTGTCAGTATTACTAATGTGATATGACCCTGAACCCCTCGGGAAGAACATGGGAGGATGTGGGCAGCAGCTGTCCTCTAGGGAGGGCCGTCTTTGGGGGTTTCTGCTAGGAAGGTGTGTGTGTTTTCTGGTGAGGCTCTGCAGCTGTATCTCATTACATCAGTCAACCAGCCAGGACTGGCTCTCTGTCCAGTCATAGGTCAGGTACTTCTGGTTACCTGACAACTTCTCATCCCCTTGCCACCCCCTTCTATAGTCAGAAGGAATCTGGACAGTTAGGAGACCTAGCACATCTTTTTTTCTCAGTTAATCTCTTTCTTTGGTTAAAATAGTCTGTCAAATCTATTTATGTTATTTATCTTTGATGCTGGAGATTTTCTCCCTTCGTTCTTGCACATTCAGGCATTTACAGTATGAAGCATGAAACCTCAAGCCCTAGACTTAAGTTGAGGTGTTGATGACTAGGAGAAACCAGGTATTCTGTCCTGTGTCCCCATACCCGCTTTTCTTTCTTCCATGACTGTGAGTTCTTGATTCATAAACAGTTGTGGAGAGGGTATTTAATACCAGTTTGCGTGCTTCGAAGCGTGTTTAGGTAGGTACTCAAAAAACACAGAATGAAAACCAGTAGGCTGCATATGAAGGTGGCAGACAAGGACCCTTTTCTTTACCTCCCCTGTACCTACTCTCTTTACTCATCTTCCCACCTTAATACCAGTAGTCCTGTTTTTGAG